CTGTACTGGGAGGTACCGCAGGACGGTCCCCAGCTGAGGGGGTCCAGCAGTGAGTGTCCCCGGGGTCCTGCCCCCACCCCGGTCCCCATCCCTGTGCCCGCCGGCTGCGCTGGGGCAGAGCGGAGCCCCCCATGTTCCCCACACTCGGCCGCAGGGGCACAGCCCCGTCTGGAATCCCCCGGGACACGGCAAAGCCCCGAGCCCCCGTATCGCCCCACAGCCCACCATGGCTCTCCCACAGCTCTCCCCAGCCCCCCACAGCCCTCCCCGGTCCCCCACAGCTGCTCACAGCCTGCGATAGCCCAGAGCTGACACCATCCCCTCCCGGGAGCAGCCCCGCCTGGCTCCCGGCCAAGCCCAGCTCCCGGTCCCGTTCCCCGGTGTGTCCCTCCCCCGCACCCCCTGCCCCATGTGCGTTCCCCGCCCCCGCTCCCCTCCAGCTGCCGGCAGCTGTTTGTGCTTAACCCGCTCCCCGAGGGCGGGGGGTTCCCGCGCCATGACGTCACCGCGGGGCCGCAGCCAAGGCGTGATGTCACCGTGATGCCGTGACGTCACGGCGCGGTGCAGGGAAGCCGTGGCATCACCGTGGGCACGGGGCCAAGGCGGCCCGGGGTGGCCGCGGTGTCACCGCTCCAGTGTCCCCGGTGTCCCCGGGCCGGTGTCACAGAGGGGCTGGGGGCGCGGGCGGCACCGGCTCGCCACTGCCACCAGGACGTGTCACCTGGCACGGGACACGGGCACGCAGGGACGTGGCACTGCGGGATRTGCTGCCGGTGCCAGGACCTGTCGCTGCTGCGCCCAGTGCGGGGGCCACCGGGGCTCGGGGAGGCGCGGGGCCCCGCTCGAAGCCGCTGCCGGTGCCGGTGCCGGTGCTGGAGCGGTGGCTCTGCCGGTGCCGGTGCCGGTGCCGGTGCCCGTGCCGGTGCCGCAGCGATGGCTCCCGCCGCCTCGCTGGCCGCCCTGCCCTGGCCCCCTGCCCGGCCTCTCTGGCTGCCCCGGCCCCGGCCCGGCCTAACGAGGAGCAGATGTGGCGGCGGCGGGGCCGGCGGGGGCCGCGGTGCCCGGCGCGGCCGGGGCGGGGGTGGCTGCGGGCAGGAAGCGGGGGGCCCGGGGGACCCCGCCGGCGGGCAGCGGCTGCGGGGCGGCTCTGGTGGCGAGGGGCTGGCCGAGGGGCGGCCGGGGGGAGGGCAGAGCCGAGCCGAGCCGTGCCGAGCCGCCCAGAGCCGCGGAGCCGCGACGGGATACCCCATGCGGTCCTGAACCGCGCCGGACCGGGCTGACCGAGCCGAGCCGAGCCGCCCCAGCCCAGCATGGCCCCCTGGCTCTGGCCGTGCCTCCTGGCCGCACAGGCCCTGGCCGCCAACTTTCCCCCCCGGTACAGTCTCTACACTGGAGGGGCTGCCCCGCTCKCCCCCGGCCCGGCGGCGGCCCACAGCGGTGCCCGAGCCGCCAGCCGGCACAGGTAGGAGCCGAGAGCACCGGGACGCACCGGGCGGCAGCGGGGACACGGGGTGCAGCCCCCACCCCGATGCCACGGGGAGCCGGGCACCGGCAGGACACCGGCACGTGCCACGTCCAGCCCGGGGGGCGGCGGGTCCTGCCGGGGCCGGGGCTGCGGG